AAATATTACATTAAACATTAACGTAATATTACATTAAACATTAACATTAAAAATGTATTCCTTATGATTTTACTAAAATATTTAAAATTAAGCAATAAGGTGAATTATTTTAACAAGCTTTATGCTTAATGTCCTACAAATGGTGTCAACTGGCTACCCTTGCGACTAGTTTAATCAAGACTACAACGTAAGTAGCAAAAACAGCATGGTAAATTCAATTTATTTCTGTTCATCAGTTTTATTCAGAATTTATTCAAAACTCGATTCAACAATTTGTTTCATCACTAAGATCATGTGGAGACTTTTATATTTTTCATATATTTAAATGTTTTATTGAAATTATACAGCAGCACTACTATGCATTGTTACATTGGTGCATAAACGAAAATGATTAAATATCCTTTACTGTAGTGCAATAGTAATACCATTTACTAGGGCTGCACGATAAATCGCATGCGATATTTAATGCGCATCTTGTCAGAAAGCCGGTTCTGTAATCAGCGGTAAATCTCCATCACGTGCGTGTTTTCACATTGAGCAGCATTAACTACACAGAGCCGTTGTTCACTGATGAGCCGCGCAAAAAATTGAGATTTACCACTGATTACAGAACCGGCTTTACTGATAAGATGCGCGTTAAATATCGCATACGATTTATCGTGCAGCCCTACTATTTACTCATAGCGGCCAATGAATCAGAAGTTCTGTATATTCACAGAAAACAGCTCACTTCCACATTGCAAAATAAGGTGGATATTATCTAATATTTCCAAAAAGTGTGGAAAAATATAGAGACAACACTTTTTAACAAACAATAGCATAAAAGAAAAAAACATTTAATAAATTAATGTGCTGAGCTTTTAGCGGAAATCTCTTCTCACCTGCTCTCCACTGGTGGTCTTGTGTGTTTTCCAAGGATGGTATATCTGTGTTTGAACTGAACTGTGTGTCCCCGCTGGTATCCACTGCTTGGTATTCTATCTTCTCTCGCTCTGGAGACAGTAACAAGAACAGGTGACACATCAGTATCTGACCATAAACATTATTGATTGAAAAACAACAGCATCATGTCTTTCCATTACTGTCTAATGTTATTTTACAGCTGATGCTCACCTGTTCTTCTCTTCTTTTGTGCGACAAAAGGCAGGACATCATGTCGTGTCAGAATTCGCAGCAACTGCAATAAAGGTTTGAGGTTTCCTTCGCTCAAGTATCCCCGCCTCTCCAACTCCAACAGCAGTTCAACGCCACTCTTGGGTCTGTGGCGACCAGTAATGGGGCAAGGCTCATTCTGTGGCTGTATTCTTCGCCATGTTTTCAGAAGCCGAGGACATGGAGAATTACCCTGTGAAGACCCATCAGGCCCTGGAGGTAACTCATCAGTCCATCCCTCTGGATCGAGGGGATGTTTTCCAGGATAAGCTTCATCGAGGAGAAAGGACAAAACCTCGACATCAGTCTCTGTGAGTTGGGAGCCCACGATTTCAAAGATCTCATGGAGGGACAGCATCTCATAGTAGCTGAGGCACTCAGTCTCCTCCCAGTACAGGGAATATCTCGTGCATTTCGTTGAAGCCATGGTCCCTTCAAATGTCCAAATGTGTCTGGTAAAGAAGAACACGAATACACATCAAATGTGAGTTTGGTACTGGTTAATTATATATATATAAATATTAACAATACAAAGAACACAGTGCAGAGCGGTTCAGTCTGTAACGTTACATGTTAGCCAACGAGCTAACTATGAGGATCGACTGTAGGTTAAAATATAGTTCTAGAAACCATTCAAATCCAGCTTTTGTGTCTACAATTGGTATAAAAACAACATAGAAAGATATTTACATGGTCGTAGTGGAAACAACGCAGTTATGTTGGTCCGAAAAGCGTTTCTGAGGTGACCCGTCCGTCCGCTCTAACAACTGCTGTCAAACGTTCCTCTTGCGGTCGAGCAGGGTCACGTGTTCTCAAATATATCGCAGTGCAAACTCGACTCCCTTGTCTTTTTTTGTTTAACGTGCATTAATGTTTAACTGTAAAACACCGTTCAATTATTTGAACGAATTATATGGTTGAGGGTTAAGACTACGTTCAAATGTTCGTGTTTGCTGCGTCAGCTGGCATTCCTGCAGCGGACTTCCGCCTCTAGTACTAGTTTTTGTTTTTTTTGCTTCTAGTACTAGCCTAGATTTTTCTCTGAGCTGCCCTGACATCACACTGCACCAAAACCACTCGATGTAAAAACAAAAACAAAAAAAGGGAAAAAAACCTATTACAGATTACACATAGCACAAGAGTCCACTTGTTATCAACATCTTTATTAGCGCCCGGACAAAACATATTTTAAAACAACAAGATCTGATTCGATTTGTTTTGATATTTTGCCGTATGAATAAAAACACGCATATTTCACGTCAGTAACTGAGGTTCAACAAGCATCTTACCTGTACAAAACTGTTGATCTGGATTGTGTTTACACTCTTGTTCTAACCCTTCCAAACACCACCCACAAAAACAACGCTCGCGTGTTAGCCAGTTTTGTTGACTGATCTGTACGGTGACCGAGAAGTGCTAAACAAATCACAATTCTGAAAACAAAATTACAAATTACAAACGCAAATGCAAGTCTAAAAAACAGAATAACATTTCAGAAAGCACAACAACAATTCAGAAAACACAATGACAAATTCGAAAACAAAATAACAAGTCAGAAAACACAACGACAAATCCGAAAACAAATGAACAAATCAGAAAACACAATGACAAATCAGACAAACCGGAAGAGTTAGGTATAGTTTGAGACAGCGCCATTGGTTTGGGATTACTTACCTCTGCTACTAAGTGCAAATACCTATTTTCACTATGTTAAAATAGCAGGATTTCTACTATCAAGTATACTACTTGTTGCACATAGTGGCAATTATCTGCACTTCAGCATTGTAGTACATTATAAAACAGTATGCAATAATAACGTATTGAGTGTAAATTATAATTTTAATTATTAAATGGATGCCACCTTATTGGTACAATAAAGCCCTCCCTACACCTACCCTAACCCTACCCGATACTTTATTTTCAACTTTTTGATTATTTCCTTAATTTTACGTTGTAAAATTTACGATGTGATACGAGATTTGAAAAGGGAGGGAAAAAAAGTTCGGCAAAAGGCGGGATTGAACCCGGGTCGATTGCGTCAAAAAGCCAACTACACGCACTTATCCATCTGCGCAACTGGAGCTGATGATTTACAGCCACTTTTAACTAAATGTAAATAGACACCCCATATTTTTTATTCCATAGTAAGGGCAATTCATACAATACATTTAAACTGAGCTACTTTAATACCATCTCTGAACTTTCTACCAGGACTCTGCTGTTTTTCGGCTGGTTCTTCCCTGTATATGTTGATTAACAGATGTCTCGTCCAGTCAGCGGTGAACAATCCCAAACCAATGGCGCTGTTTTCTGACTTGTTATTTTGTTTTCGAATTTGTCATTGTGTTTTCTGACTTGTTATGATGTTTTCTGAATTGTTATGTTTTCTGAATTGTTATGTTTTCTGAATTGTTATTTGTTTTGCACTTCTCGGTCACCGTAGATCTGTGATCTCCGCACATTCGTAGATCGTTACATGTGTATTTGGAGGAAATTCACTCGCATATGATTTGTAGATCGAGGCTCCTTGTCGACAAACCAGTCACATGTCACGTTTATGTGATATCGTCCGCCAAATGTCACCATAATGGGAAGGGAAATTAGAACACAACTATATATATATATATATATATATATACTGCCGTTGACAAGTTTGGGAGCAGATTTGTTATGTGTTTTAAAGAAGTCTCTTCTGCTCATCATGGCTGCATTTATCTGATCAGAAACACAGGAAAAAAAGTAATATTGTGAATTATTATGGCAATTTAAAATAATGGGTTTCTATTTTGATATACTTTAAAATGTAATTTATTCCTGTGATGCAAAGCTGAATTTTCAGCATCATGACTCCAGTCTTCAGTGTCACATGGTGAATAAAAAGTTAAAAAGAACAGCATTTATTCAAAATCTTATAAAAAAAAAAAATATATATATATTTTGTAACAATATACACAACCGTTGAAACATTTGAGGTCAGTAATTGTTTTTCATTATTTTCTTTTCTGATTTTTTTAATGCTTTTATTCAGCAAGGATGTGTTAAATTGATCAAAAGTGATAATAAAGACTTATATTGTTAGAAAATATTTCTATTTTAAATAAATGCTGTTCTTTTTAACTTTATTCGTCAAATAATCCTGAAAATAAGTATCACAGGTTCAAAAAACATATTAAGCAGCACAGCTGATTCCAACATTGATAATAAATCAGCATATTAGAATGATTTCTGAAGGATCATGTGACACTAAAGACTGGAGTAATGATGACACAAAATCAGCTTTGCATCACAGAAATAAATTATATTTTAAAGTATATTAAAATAGAAAACGATTATTTTAAATTGTTATAATATCTTACATTATTATTATTAATATCCTGTATTTTGAGTCAAATAAATGCAGCCACGATGAGCAGAAGAGACTTCTTTAAAACACACACACACAAAAAATCTTACTGATCTCAAACTTTTGAACAGCAGTGTATACTTACTTACTTATCTACCGTAGGCTGCTAACAAGTTACTTTATGAGAAATACCATTGTCCAATTTGTTAAGCATTCTTGTGGTAGTTGTAGTTCATGAAACATGCATTTTAGTAATTAGTAAAATGAGGTATGGCAGTGTGTAATGTTGTAGAACAAAACGTCCTCTTCTATCCACAGATCTTAATTAACTTATAAATAAATAAAAAACAAATGTATTCTAAGGCCTTCCTTTAACTGGCCTACAAATTGACGTCATGGCTTTTAGATAAAATAATAATTCATAATAATTCATAATAATTCATAATAATTCATAATAAAAATACGCGTGTCCTGTTGGTTTGGTCCCTGGCACTAGGTGGCGGTCGTTACTTCGGCTCATGATTAACTACCGCAGAAGAAGATCGATTCGTCGCCACTCCAGCTGGCTAAACACATCATATCCGCCGCACATCAACACACGGAATACAGCTACAGAAAGTTCTGTGAGTATGATTTTTGTTTTAGGTTTTATTTGCCTCTCAATGCGCCGTTTTAGCCATAATATCTAACTCTACAGTCGCTTGTCAAAGCCCACTTTTATCAGGTTTTCATAGCTGTGGGGGAATCGACATGATCTAAGAGAGAGCGTTTAGTTCCATAACAGATTTGAGAAACCAACTTTGTGGAGTGTTTTTATACCAACCCGTCAAAAAGATCGTGTTGTTAGATGGTCTTATATTTCATAACTTAATATGTTTTGGACACATCTGACGTGATGCTGCAGCTTAACAAACGTGTTCTTCCGGATTCTTTCTCTTTGTGAATGCAGTTTCTGTACCAACCCATGAGTGACATCGATTTTCCATTAGCGCACATAATGTAATTTAAGACATTTATAACTTGCTGCACAGTTGATGGAAAGTGTTCTAAACGAAGTAGCTGGAATAATGAAAGCTATTAAAAATAATGTTTATTTAATTTCTTCATTGTTTCATAAAAAATTGAAAACGAGAAAAGTGTCAGCAGTTGTGTGTAAGTGACACGTTGAGATGGATGGAAAAGCAAGTGACCCCTTCAGCAGTGAGGCAGAACAGCTTCCTGGGGCAGGAGTATTGGGGAGGTGAGTAAAGTGCCGTCAATCACCAGAAATACTACAATCTGTAAATGCTCAAGAGCTCAAAAAATGTTTAAGTCGTATAAATCTACAGTTATTAATTTCCTTTCATTTCTATTGTTTGTCATTATTTTGAATTACACTAAATTAAAAAATAATGACATATGTGATATTTTACGTGTCGTTATTACCCTTAATTGTGTTATTATGATGCAGTTATGTTTATATATTTTTTTATATGTATAACCATTATTACTCTGCTAATTCTATTTTCCTGTCTGTCTTGGACATCAGGCTGTGGCTGCCCAAAGGTCTGTCTGGGAATGTGATTAAGGATTGGGTGGACCGCAGGCGAAAGTCCATCCGTCCATGGGCCAGCTTTGTGGACCAGCGTAAGTTCTCCAAACCTCGGAATTTTGGAGAGCTGTGCCAGCGTGTGGTGAGGAATCTGGACACCTTTCACAGCAACTACGCCTTCATCTTTTTGGGACTCATTCTCTACTGCATGTAAGGAACTGCTTACTAATAATCATCTAGAATTTTGAATGCAAATGAGTTATTATTCAACTATGTGATGTTATTTTTAATTAAAGGGGTGCTATTATGCTTTTTCACTTTTTCAACTTTAGTTAGTCTGTAATGTTGCTGTTTGAGCTTAAAAAAGATCTGCAAAGCTACAAAGCTCAAAGTCCACTTCAAAAGGAGATATTTTATTTAACAGAAATCACTTTTCAAAAACTACAACGAACGACTCGTTTGGACTACAATGCATATTTTTCGGGATTTGTGCTATCACAAATATGGACGAATGGGACGAGACCTGGTTGAGCTGCACTAGAGAAGACAACGAGTGTTATCATGTCGGAGACACGCTAGCTTTCCCAAGGCAGACGAACTTAAAGTGGTTACAATCATCTGGGTTTAAATTGCGCTCAAATTTATTTGATTTTGAGCAATATTTACACGAAGCTCACAGGCGCTATGTAAGGGGCATGACATTTCCCGACCAGGTGCCGAGCTAACCAATCACAGCACACACTGGCCCAGCTGACCAATCACAGCACACACTGGCCCAGCTGACCAATCACAGCACACACTGGCCCAGCTGACCAATCACAGCACACACTGGCCCAGCTGACCAATCACAGCACACACTGGCCCAGCTGACCAATCACAGCACACACTGGCCCAGCTGACCAATCACAGCACACACTGGCCCAGCTGACCAATCACAGCACACACTGGCCCAGCTGACCAATCACAGCACACACTGGCCCAGCTGACCAATCACAGCACACACTGGCCCAGCTGACCAATCACAGCACACACTGGCCCAGCTGACCAATCACAGCACACACTGGCCCAGCTGACCAATCACAGCACACACTGGCCCAGCTGACCAATCACAGCACACACTGGCCCAGCTGACCAATCACAGCACACACTGGCCCAGCTGACCAATCACAGCACACACTGGCCCAGCTGACCAATCACAGCACACACTGGCCCAGCTGACCAATCACAGCACACACTGGCCCAGCTGACCAATCACAGCACACACTGGCCCAGCTGACCAATCACAGCACACACTGGCCCAGCTAACCAATCACAGCACACACTGGCCCAGCTAACCTATCACAACACACACTGGCCCAGCTCAGAAAGCGGGCCTTCATGTAATACAGGAACTATTCGAGCCGCTCATGCCAGACTGGGGAGAGAGGTGTTTTATTAATGTAAAATATGTGAAAAATAACGTGTTTCTCGAACAACCTAGTATGAGAGCCTGTTCTAGTACACCCTCAAAACAAAATCAAGACTTTGTAAAAGAGCATAATAGGACCCCTTTAACTTCTTCAAATGACATATTACTCACTGTAGTAGAAATAAAAACGCTCAACAAGCCTCTGTCTTATGTACACAACATGGGTGTGTGTGTTTAAGTTTCTCTGAAGGTCCACATAAACGCAACCATCTGGAAGGCGTTTAACAGAATAAACATTCACAGGATGTTCAAATAAAATGCCAGTTAACTGTTTTCGCTCTCCTTTTCTCCTCCAGCATCAGTTCCCCGATGCTCTTGATTGCTTTGGGAGTGTTTGCTGGTGCCTTCTATATAATTCACTTGAAAACACTGGAAAAGAAGCTGGTTGTTTTCGGTAAGAGAGTGAGATGCCGTTTTAGTGGTGATATATGAGGCCGTATGAGTTGCGTCGTTTGATTTGTTTGCTTGAAGTTTAAGGGCTGAATAGTTGATGTAATGTGTGTAACACACTCTTCTGTTTCTCTCAGGTCGTGAGTTGACTCAGGGACACCAGTTAGGTTTAGCAGGAGGGGTTTCCTTCCCTGTGTTCTGGCTCGCAGGTGCAGGAACTGCTGTGTTTTGGGTACTAGGTAAGATTTTTACCTTTATCTCATTGTACTTCTGTGTTTTTCCCCAAACAGCTCTTCTGAAACTCTTGGATTTTTTCTCTTATTTAGGTGCTACACTAGCTGTTATCGGGTCTCATGCAGCATTTCATGAGCTGGAGTCGTCTGACATAGATGAGCTGCTCATGGAACCTGTTTAAACCTTTCACCTTTTTCATTTTGGCTCATGTTAACCTAAATCGTCTTGCCTCATCGTTTATATTGCCGCATATTGTTTTTGCACTAATTTGGCAATATCAGTTTGCTCACAGATTGGCCAGCAAAGAAATACAGACTGTTAAACTGACATGTCCCTAAACAGATCAAGCACAGTGAAAGACCTCAAATGCCTTTACTGGTACCTATTGGATATTATGTTCATTTGTTACATCATTTATTTCTATAGCATCCTTAAAGCACAAACTAAATTGACTGTGACCCAAAGCAAAAAATCAAATTTAGTTGAAAAAACTATTTCAATTTATACTATCCTTAAAGGCGTAAGTCAACCTAAAATGAAAATTCCCAGCTTGTATGACTTCTTTGTTGCTCTGTGGAACTCAAATTAATTGATTTTGAAGAATGCTTAGAATTTTTATTTTTTTTGTCCACAATGAATGGAAAACTGGGTTCAAAACAACATTGGAACCCATTGACTTTGAATGTATGGACAAATAAACACTTGAGACATTTTTCAGAATTTCTTCTTTTATGATCCACAGAAGAAGAAAGAATGTCATACAAGCTTGGAATTATGTGAGGGCAAGTAAATCACAGGATTTTTGGGTTAATGCTATGCTTTTAAAAGATCCTCTCACACTAAAGGACAAATATGAGTAATAGCTTTTGATCAAAATGTTATGCTGGATCATCCGAAATAGCGAGGAAAAAAATTCAGACAACAATGTACCGTCTTGACAGTTTGTGTGATTTATAGGGTACCAGTCATTACAAAATCATTTGTATATTTAGCTCATATGTTGTTATATCAGTCTTGTGAGGACAGCTAACGCATGCATGATTTAATAACAGTATGTGTCAGCAAAGAATTTTTTTTATTATTGCTATTCAGTGTAACCAGTTTCTGATGCCAATATTCCCAGTGGAAGTCTTTTTTTATACACTACTGTGAAAAAGTCTTGGGCCATTAGTATTTTCACCAACAACAACAACAAAAAAGATTTTAAGCCAGTAATTTCTACAGCAAATGACCGAAATAATTTGCTTAATTTTTTTGTTGTTGTTGAAAATACTAATGGCCTAAGACTTTTACACAGTACTGTGTGTATATAAATATATATATATATATATATTTATTTATGTTCTCTAATTTAATGGAAATGTTTGTTTATTGTCTTTTATTTACAACTTGCTTCTGTTGTATCAATGAATGGGAAGTGCAATAAAATGCTCAGTCTGTACAATACCTTTAAGTCTAATGTTTATTTAATGACTGCTCATAGAAAAATATCTAGACTTATTGCCTTTTTTCCATCTTCTCTTTTTTTTTTGTCTTATCACACAAATTTATGTGACCTGTCATGACATCAGACCAGTGACAGTCCATCTCATTTTTAAGTTGCCATAGTGATGACCTTGAGTGGGCTCTATCTTTCCTTTTAAACACTGCGGCAAGAGCAGCCGATCGATATTCCATTACAGCAGTGCAGTAAGGAGGGAGGGGGGAAAGAAAGAGGAGCACTGCAGTGAGCCCACAGAATTTCCCAAGGGACTTTAGGGATGTGTGTGTGTGTGTGTGTGTGGCAGCCCAGTTTTGCAAGTCCGTAGTTTGCAGTGATATCAATGTATGATGAATGCTGTGGTCAGCATATTATAGTCACTCTCTGTGTTTGCCATTGTTAAGAGAAGTAGATGTAATTGTGGTTATTGTTTAAAGGGATAATTTTCACGTTTGGGATGCCAGGGACCCCAGTGATGTATGTGTAACTTGATTTTAATTTAACTTTTATTTTGTCAAATTATTTAATATAATTTAGAATTTTCCTCTGATTTAATCAATACAGAGTAAGCCGATATTATTCAAGCTTTTTAAGTTGTCACAAAGGACAACTGGATGACTTATAAAAAAAAAATAGACTTTAATATATAAAAATACAGTAAAATAAACAGGAATGCACTATATGAAATGGTTTATACCTTAAATTTTTATTTGCTATCAATTCTCATAAAACTAGGAAAAGACAAACTATTGGCCTGATACTTATTTTGTGAGCTATTAAAATGACCTTTAGGTCTCGGGATGGCAAGGATGGCAAAATAAATAGGTTTAGCCACCTTTAAAATGTAGAAAATATTTTCCCAATTTTTATGATGTTGACTTTTTTGGTGCAGAATTACTGGTCTGTTGATAAACACTTGGTAGTCCAGGAGATGCTGATTTATAAAGGTTGCATTACATGTCCTCATTATCAAAGACCATGAACACAGCTACTCAAGGTAAAAGAAAATGACATTGGAAAGAAATATAACATTAATTCAATTCAAGTTTATTTGTATAGCGCTTTTCACGATACAAATCGTTGCAATGCAACTTTACAATTACGTTTCTACAATATTTAGTGGTAGTTTATCAGTGGTGACTGTCAGTTAATGTACATATGGCAGAAATGTACCGAAAAATCAATTAAAGACAATCAAACAGACAATGAACACTATTAACAGCAATTATTATTATGCAATCAAACTTATAGCAAAATGTGGTAGTTCTGGAAGTTGTTTCAGGGTTGGCATCATCTGAGGTCCTCTGAGGGGTTGGCATCATCTCTTCTCAGGTGTTCTGGATCCAGACTGAAGCTTGTGTAAATCCTAGTTACGGCAAAAACAGTGAAACAAATAGAGACATAATTAGCATAGCTGCTGTTCCAACCAAGCAAAAATGATTTGTTTAACCCAAACTAACGAATAATAATGTGCATTTGATTAGATATAACTGCAGTAAAAGATTATGACTGCAGTAAAAGATTATGAGATGCATTATTTGAATGCTTGGCCAAAGAGATGTGTCTTTAATCTAGATTTAAACAGAGTAGTGGGTACAGGATCTAACAGGCATGTTGTTGGTTTAGATGCAGTGATAAACCAACAACATGCCTGTTGGATCCATTACAACATTGTAAAATCTGATGTAAAAAATGCACTATTCTTATCTGCATCAGTGTTGGTTTAGTATTAATATAGTATTTCTAAATATTTTGAAATAGTTTTCATTTTCATTTTAGTTTGTTTTAATGATTTTATGTGCTTTTGTCATTAAAAAAAATCTGTTTAGCTTCAATTCATTTTTATTTCAGTTTTTGTTTAAATAATTTTAGTACTTATTTCAGTACTTTTAGTAGTTTTTCATATATATTTGATCTCAGCTTTATTTAAATTACAGAAAATGAATTTTTAATTTACATTAACAACACTTAATAGTGATTTAACTGATCCAGTAAGAGATGAAAAAGGGAAATGAAGAGTCAGACATCACTTGTTGGTAGTATTAAATGCACTAGATGTTTTATTGGATTTGACCTTTCAGATTCATGTTTCTACCAGTAGTTTTGTCCTTCTGTCTTTAGTCTCAATTTTCACACATCTGTCAGATGAACAGCTGACTGCAACAGCGTACTGTATCTCCACTCACGCGTGCGCACGCGCACACACACACACACACACACACACACACACACACCTGACACTGCTTCATACCGATCGCATCTCCTCATAAACCAGCGGTGGAACCTGCACACACCAGGCTCAATTGGTTGGTCCAGAAATTATTTAGATGATAGAGTTTGTTTCTCGAATCAGATTTTAGGAGAACAAATTGTTTGTTGATATGACAGATAAAAGTTGACATCTACCTTCAACAGATAATGTACAAAAACATAATTTAAGTGCCATAAAGGGGGGGGGGGACAACAAAACCTGGTGTGTTTCGTTTCACAATGGCAGTTGATTTTATTCCAGAGAATGTTCAACATCTGTACAACCTGTCAGGAAACTGATGACTTCTGTTTCAGTCAAGTGGGTTCAAACATGCAAGAGAATAATTTTATACTGTTTTTCAGTGTTTCTATCTTCCAAGATATGTCTTTATTCATTTAATCAGATGTGGTATTGTTTACATTTTCCCTAAAACACAGAGACAGAGAGTGTATTGAAACATCTGGGGTTATTGTAGCGGTCAAACAAGCACACAAAGACAGAGAAAGAACGTCAGTGAGAGTGAGAGAGGATTCCAATGTCAATCAAACTTAAGTAGAAAATAAAAAATATAAACAACAAAGCCACCAAAACCATTTCCATTAGTGATTAAAGAACACAAATCACCTAACAAGCACAATTATTAACAAAACGAGTGAAATAAGTCAAAGTTCCTATGTTAAACAGAGTTTAGTGTGTGCATTGGGATCCAACAACAGGTTTTGTGTGATCTGTGTATCCGTGTGTGAATGGAGGATAGGTTGAGGGAAAAGGCAGGGATGTAAAGGATAGGTGAAGGGACGGCCTTTTTTAATAGGCGAGCGTACATACTCCCTTTTTAGCGTCAAAAGCTCCTTTCGAATCTACGTAATTGATTATGCAGCTGCCAGTTTTAGATATATAGTAGACTTTATGTACACAGCCGTGTGAAAATACATGCAAAGATTATTATAGGAATTGGGGGGCATGATGTGGACATTTGAGAGTGGAAGGTGCTTTGTGATTTCCTCTTTAGGGAGAGACGTGCTATTGGCTTAAAGCTACTGTCTCTTTAAAAGGAGGGCGGGAGAGGATGGTTGTGCGTCTTAGTTGGAAGAGAAGTAGTAGAACAAAATGGAAGATGTAGGAATGTGAGTAAAGAAGATTTGTTGATCAATAATATGTCTCCTTTTCCACCCATCCTACAAAAAAAAGACAGAAAAAAAGCAGTAATCACTTTGAGAAATGCTGCACATCTGGTGAGTTTTCATTTAAATCTTAATTGAACAGTGTTTTATTGTATCCCTGATGCAAACAAAGACATTTAATGATCCAATTCGGGGGCTTTATGCAAGATATACTGATAAGAAGTGTGTAATTTTGTGCATGTGTCTTTGGGACAGTATGAAGGAACACGTACCACCGGGGTTCCGGCGCAGGAGCAGCTTTCGGACCTCATCATAAACAAAGATTAAGAAACTGTATGGGAAAGCACAGAACCACCAGCTCGGCCTGGAGATGAGCGAGACAAATGAGAAGAGAGACCGTTTTAAATTGCAGAATACTATCGAGTATAATAAGCTTCATATAACAGATTATGAAACATTAACATTTGTGTCTATAGTGTAACTTTAGATCATGTGATATATGTACATTTCAAATGTATTTATTTCTGACCTAATATTTAAATTGCTTGTTTACTAATAAAATGAATCATGAAATCTGAATCAATTTCAGTTTGATTTTCAATGTATTTATGCATTTTTAGACCCCATATTCAAGAAACATGAGGAGCACGAATCCCTCAATAAATGGTTATGCTTTTTATTGAAAATAGAACACTGAAGTCTTTACTGTCATTTTTGATCTTCCTTGCCGATTAAAATTATTAATTTCTTTTAAAAACTAACAGAAAAACCTTACTGACCCCAGAGGTGGAATTGGATGAGTGCTTGTAACTGGAAAATCCATTTTCATGTATGCATTTG